ATCTGTTTTAATAAAACCTTTATCTGTTTTAATAAAACCTTTATCTGTTTTAATAAAACCTTTATCTGCTTTAATAAAACCTTTATCTGTTTTAATAAAATCTTTATCTGTTTTAATAAAACCTTATCTATTTTAATAAAACCTTGATCTATTTTAATAAAACCTTGATCTGTTTTAATAAAACCTTATCTATTTTAATAAAACCTTATCTATTTTAATAAAACCTTATCTATTTTAATAAAACCTTGATCTGTTTTAATAAAACCTTGATCTATTTTAATAAAACCTTATATATTTTAATAAAACCTTGATCTGTTTTAATAAAACCTTGATCTATTTTAATAAAACCTTGATCTGTTTTAATAAAACCTTATCTATTTTAATAAAACCTTTATCTGCTTTAATAAAACCATCTGTTTTAATAAAACCTTGATCTATTTTAATAAAACCTTGATCTGTTTTAATAAAACCTTATCTGTTTTAATAAAACCTTGATCTGTTTTAATAAAACCTTTATCTATTTTAATAAAACCTTGATCTGTTTTAATAAAATCTTTATCTGTTTTAATAAAACCTTATCTATTTTAATAAAACCTTGATCTATTTTAATAAAACCTTGATCTGTTTTAATAAAACCTTGATCTGTTTTAATAAAACCTTGATCTGTTTTAATAAAACCTTGATCTGTTTTAATAAAACCTTGATCTATTTTAATAAAACCTTGATCTGTTTTAATAAAACCTTGGTCTGTTTTAATAAAACCTTGATCTGTTTTAATAAAACCTTGATCTATTTTAATAAAACCTTATCTATTTTAATAAAACCTTGATCTGTTTTAATAAAACCTTTATCTATTTTAATAAAACCTTGATCTGTTTTAATAAAACCTTTATCTGTTTTAATAAAATCTTTATCTGTTTTAATAAAACCTTATCTATTTTAATAAAACCTTGATCTGTTTTAATAAAACCTTGATCTGTTTTAATAAAACTTACATCTGTTTTAATAAAACCTTGATCTGCTTTAATAAAACCTTTATCTATAAGTTGTTGATGATAATTAATAAGGATCTTTTTGTCTGTAGGTTTAGAACACGAGCAGCACTACGACCCGAACAGAACCCTGTGATGTGGAGCAGAACAATATTTGACTGGTGTGGAAAAATAAATAAACAAAAGTCAGAACCCCTCGGTCCAAACAAACAAACAAACTGAAGAACGTTTGTTTTATTTATTAAATTCATTCCTCCGGTGTTTTAAATTTAAAATGTAAATTGTCTTCTCCAGTAAACGTTTTGTTTTTTAAATCGCCTCAAAGATAAAACACAGTTATACACAGAACCAGACCGAGCCAGACTGAACCTGACAGAACCACACAGACCAGGGATTACTGTGGAGAACCTTTGTCAGGTTCTACAGCCCAGAGTTTAGTGATGACCTGGTCCAGAGGCGCCGTCTTCTCTGGGATCCATCTGAGTTGGACACCTGGGTCAGACTGATCAGAATGTTGTAGTTGGACAAGAACAAAGTCCAACAGCACCGAAGTTCAACATGGTGGTGGAAGCATCATCATCGTTTAAAGTCAAAAAGCCTGATTCTGTGATGGTTCTGGTCTTGGATCAGGGTTCTATCTAAGCTCCGCCTCCTCTCCTTGTTTAAAATTGAAGACAAAATGTCCGTCCAGAGTCAGATGGATGTGGGCGGTGCCCTCCATAAGAAAGCCCCGCCTCCACACCCGCCTAACTGCTCAACAGGCTGTCAGTCACAAAGTAACACTTTTTATTAACCTTAAATAACTAAAAGAAACAATTTTTATGTTTTCAACTGGAAAATGTCTCATTGTTTACACAGTGGGGGCGGGGCTTAAAAACTGCACTTTGTGGCTTCAGCTTCCAGCTTCCTGTCTTGTTTCTAGCTTTAAAACATCTGGATGGTAAAACTAATGCTGCTCATCAGCTGGTCTCCTCTTCATCATTTGGTTTTGTTTTGAAGTCTGCACTTGTGCGTCCCGTCCACGTGTCCATGTCTGACTGTCTCCTGTCTCTGCTTCCAGGCTGACTTTGACTCTGTCCTGTCCCATGGATCTGAAGAACTTCCCGATGGACGCTCAGACCTGCATCATGCAACTGGAGAGCTGTGAGTATTGAACACGCTAAGAACACGCTAAGATGCTTATTGTATGAACTCAGCAGAGCAGCTCCTTCCTGTTCCCGTCAGAACATTTGGTCCATCGGTCCGGACCGGCAGCCTTCAGCCTAAATGAGGAAAACGTGTTTCCTGGTCAGACTGTAGGTCTCAGCTGCAGCTCCTGCTGCGGTTCTCCATGGCAGGAACGGTTTCGGTCCGTGCCGAATGTTCCACGCCTCACTGGTTCAATCTGTCCAGGTTCCTGCGGGGGGTCGTGTGTTCTGACGTGTTCTCACAGAAGAACACGGCAGACCCCGGAGAACACTCCACGTTTTAATCCTTCATATGTGCAGCTTTGCCTCGTTAATCTGCTGCTGGGAGCAGAGGCTGTTAATGTGTTCCGGTCCGCTCCAGTGATGCTCTGATTCATGCAGGTTTTTGTCTCGGTCCTGGTTTTAGTCTCCTCTGACCCCCCTGCCCCGGAGCATTAACACCCTTCGACCTGGTTTTACTTTTACAAACGACCAAAGTTATTTTTATCTCTGATGTGGAGCAGGAGCAACGCAGGCTCTTCGCTGCGTCAACATCCAGATTGACTCTGTTAGCTAAACACGTGAGAATAAAGAGATTTTAACGTTTCATCAAAACATTTCAGCTCTTCATCTGCTGCGCTGCTTCAGATTATAACAAATATAAAACTCTTCTTCTGTTGTTGGAATAAAGAAATTAGATTAAATACTGAGAGCTGAATGATGCTCAAACTGACGTGTTGCAGCTAAAAAGAGCTAAAAGGAGCAGAACAGTAGCCAGAAATAGGGAATTGTTAGCTAACAGCTAAAAGTGTCTAAAAGCTACGTGAAAGTAGCTGAAGCAGAATTCTAAAAATCAGTTTTTGAAGGAAGTGAAGTTCCAAAAGCATCCGTCCTACAGCAGAGACACGCTGAGAGGACGAAGACAGAGGACAGAAGACAAGAGGACAGGCGGGCAGGAGAAACATGCTGAGAGGACAGAGACAGGAGGACAGGAGAGACACGCTTAGAGGATGGATACAGGGGTACAAGACAGGAGACAGGAGGACAGGAGAGACAGTGGACAAAAGAACAGAGCATCGTCCAGGTTCAGCAGGTTCTGGTTAAACCGAGTCATGGTTCTGCTGTGAAGTCAAACAGAACCAGGTTGAAGGCTCCGTGGACCGCGAGGCGTTGTGACTGACCTGACCCAAAACGATGAAGATGATGGTGGTGGTGATGAAGATGATGAAGATGACGGTGAAGATTAACTCAACCGGATCATTTTAATGTGGAACCTGCAGAACTCATCTGTGTTCTAATCCAACAGAACTCGACCGGGTTCTGATCCGACAGAACTCGACCGGGTTCTGATCCGACAGAACTCGACCGGGTTCTGATCAGACAGAACTCGACCGGGTTCTGATCCGACAGAACTCGACCGGGTTCTGATCCGACAGAACTCGACCTGGTTCTGATCCGACAGTGGGAGACGTTGTTCACACCGGAGGCGGTTGTGAGATTTAAAAACATCCGAAGTCGAGTCGCTGGTTTTTCTGGCTGCGGGCGCGTCGCCTCGCTCTGTTTGTTGTTGTTTGTTCACTTCAGGACGGAGCTGGAGGAACAGGACCAAGTTCATCTTTAATGGTGGCTCCGGGTCAGAACCAGAACCAGCAGCTGGTTCCACGAAGGCCCTGCGGTCAGCTGGCTGCTTGTTGTCGTGTTTGTTTGTGTCTCAGTTGTAAACATCAAGAGGCGAGATGAACCGGGTCGTTGTTGTTTCAGACTGTTGGTTCTGAAAGTTTGGATCCAGGTCCAGAGTGGACGTTGTTCTAGAACCTCCTGCGATCAGTTTGAACCTGTGTGTGCGTGAAAACTGCAGCAGATTCAACGAGCGCAGCGTTGGCGTGTAAATGTGTCAACAAAGATTAAACAACAACAACAAAAATTAAACAACAACAGCAAATATTAAACAACAATGATTAAATAACAACAACAAAGATTAAACCACAACAACAAAGATTAAACAACAGCAAATATTAAACCACAACAACAACAATGATTAATCAACAACAACAATGATTAAACAACAACAACAAACATTAAACCACAACAATAACAACAACAATGATTAAACAACAACAAAGTATAAACAACAACAGCAAATATTAAACCACAACAGCAACAACAATGATTAATCAACAACAACAACGATTAAACAACAACAACAAATATTAAACCACAACAATAACAACAACAATGATTAAACAACAACAACAATGATTAAACAACAACA